AAAGAGTCTGGGGACAGGTCAGGCAAACAGATCAGAACGAGGACAGGCAGTCTCAGAGGTCCAGATGCAGAATTGGCCAGGATCAGGTAATCAGAACACAGGAATGCTAGAGAACTCTCACCAAAGGCTGGAATAATCTGGTACTGATGACTGGTTTGAAGGCTGGAGCAGGTGAAGCAGATGAGCAGTATTGAAAACTGAACAGACAGATAAGTGAAATGAGTAATCGGACCAGTCATCACTGCCAAGATCATAACAAACATGTTTATTTGAATTTTTGTTGTGCTTTGTTTTATTATTCTCTTCAAACTACTTTGTTTGCATACAAATGTAGCTCATCTTGCTGAAATCCAGCATTTAACTAGTAATCTAGATTATTGTTATAATATTAAGTTGTGGGGTTTTAGCCAATATATAAATGTATGTTAATATAACTGTCTTCAAATTTCCCTTGAAGAGTCACAACTTCTTTGGGGCATTTATTTTGGTTCATAAAATCTTAATCATTCATTACACCTCCAAATTAATAGACACATTTTTTTTTATTACTTTAACTTTTTGGACAATTTTGTAAAAAATCACCTCAAAAACAGATATTTAACCACATGCTCACAAGTAAAGTGTTTTCTTTGCTAATATTTACTTAAAAGCTGAATACCAGCATGGCAGTGAAGGGCTTCAAATGATTCCGAGGTCTCACACCACCAGTCTGGGTTGTTATTTTTCATCCATTTCATGGATGTTACACTACTAACATGTTTTGATTTTTAGATGTGTATAAAATCCCTCCCTTTAATTGTGTAGAATGGCCAAACAAGGGACCTTCTTACTCCTTACAGACTCAGATAACATACCAGTCCCATATAGGGCCAACACTCTGCCAATAAATCAGCCTTTTGGCAGCTGCCACAAAGGTCTACTCATAAGATTTAGATCTAATGTTTATATCTTCATCCAGTGGCCAGTTTCTTGTTCAAATCTAATTATGAAAAAACAGTTAAACAGCATAGCTAGTCGTTTAGCTACGCATCAGGCATGGATGGTAAACAGCACTGGCTTTTAGGGCCAAGATAGTGAATTTAGTTATCCGTGCTACTGTTGTCAATGCCAAGAGTTTTGGACCCCCACTATACTCTGCAGAATGCATTACATCACCTGAAACAAGCCATACTTGAAACACATGTGATGACTCAGTGACCAAAGTGAAGATAAAAGGCCATTACCCTGCATTTGTATGGTAACGATACTTAATTCTGGCTCCAGTGTTCCTGGCCTTTACCTCAAGCGTTCATTACACTGTTTAACATGGCAGTCAGTCACAGATAGCATAGCCGTCCTACTGTGTGCCTGTTGAAACAGCCGTGTTTAAACATTCAGTTTTTCAGCTTTGATTCATTCCTGTGTCGTAAAAAAAAGCGACTGAATATGATGTCATGTGATCTCATCGCAGGGGGATATGGGTGAAGACGGACCGAAAGGTGACATGGGCGAGAAGGTATGCAAATTATTTAATTTCACCTTATTGTTTTTGTCTTGGTACTTTTTCAGAGAAACAGTAGATGGTCTGGCTTTGCCCAATATGCATTACTCAAAGTTAATGTTATCCATCTGAGATCAGATGTATGCCCATCAGCGGCAGCTGAGGTCATGTACCATCAACAAACATCTGTTGTGATGGGTGAATAAAAGCAATCCTCCCGGTACTTGATTCCTCACTAAATTATGTGAACTTTTTCGACAGTATGATGGTATTTTTTTTTTTTTTTGAAGGACTATTTACCATAAAGACAGCTTGTCAAACTGAGATCCATTTTTTAACAATATTCAAAACCAAGCTATGTTGGATAGATGAATGTTTCTGTCCCAAACCTTTTAGTTTTAAGTGAGGCTCATCTTATATGAAACATTACTTGTCAGAGCTATTACTCTTTTCATCCAAAATTCTCTGTATCACCTTTGCTTTTTTTACCATGTAAAAGTAACATTCATAAAAATAGACTGAAGCCTTATTTCACTTTTATGAGCTCACAACAGAAATCGGAACACTTTCCTCAGCAAACCTGTTTTAAAGCATTTCAGAATGCCATTATTGATTTGAATAAACCATTACATGAAAATGTTGATTCAGCTCCTCACATTTCTGGGAAAGGATAAAGATTTTTCAAAGATTGCCAAAAAAGTGGTAACACAATTGCTGCTCCAGGACAGCCAGCCCTAAACACTTTGATGTATTATGCACCGGAGATGCTTCCTTTTTTTTTTTTTTTTGCTCTGAATACTGCTAGGTATGAAAACAAAGTGTAACTCAAAGACCAGCAGCCGTGTGGAAGCCGTGTACTCAAAATGTCACTGCCAATTTATTGCTGTTCAGTGGAGAACAACTTTGATAACCTCTCGCTTTATGGGTGCTGCGGTTTTTAAAAGGCTGCCGAACTCGGCAGCCGAGAAGGATACAATTCAAGGGAAACAGATGAAAGATATCATCTGTGGAAAATGAATGAACAAAACGGGAAGGTAGGCGTAGGGTGATAAAACTTTGCAGCTCATGCGACGCTTTGATCCAGTGTACCTTAGTGCAATAAAAGGGGAAAAAGTGACTTTTTTTTCTTGCTAGAACAGTTGAAGTTACTAGTCATTCTTCAAGTGCATACTCCAGGGAGAGTTACTGTGAAGAATAAGAAATACAGTTGACATAAAAAGTCTACAGACATAAAAAATGAGACTATGGTTTAACCAAAGCAAAAAAACTGTTTCTCCGGGGGGGAAAAAAAAAAGAGTTGGACAGTGATATGATAAATAAATTCCTAAAAAAATAAAGAATATCCTGTTTGTATATATTTGAAGACACCTCAAGCATTTTAAGTATTCAAGTACCCTTGCTTCAATTTTAGTATTAAGTCTCTATCGATATATGTTCTCTTTATTTGGCTAAAATCCTGCAGTTCTATCAGTTTCTGCTGACTCCATTGTCCACAGCTCGTATCAGCTGACCACACAGATTATCTGATATTTTTAGCTCTAGATTCTGGCTTGGCCATATCAAAAATTTGTTTTGAATGCGTGAAGGCATTTTTCTTGAAATGGATGTACGGTTGAATCTACTTTGATGCTTCTTAGCATAAAACTGAAGGTTTTGGTTCCAAATTAATTGGCATTTGAACTTCACAATAGCCACAGTTCTACTCACAGAACAGTAAACTGACAGAACATTATGCTGCTACCATCATGTTCCTCTTTGGTTATGGCGTTCTTTTGATGATGAACAATAGATCATGCCACATTCAACCACAATGGTTTTAAGGAGTGCAGCCAAGTCTGCATGTTTTCTTTGTGGGTAAAGGATTTTGTCTTGGAACCTCTTCGGTCCAGACATATGGAGAATACAAGAGGTTGTTGTAACATGTACAACACAGCTAGTATTAGCCAGGAATTTCTGAAGCTCCTCTTGTGTTGCTGATGCCTCTTGGAAGCATAACTGACTAGTTTCCTTTATCGATCAAAGTTACATAACTATGCAGTTTTATTAATGTGACTGTTTTCCTTATTTTCAATAACTGGCTTTACTTGTCTGGGTACATATATCATGCTGAGGAAGGTTTTTTTATTTTTTCCTGGCCGATACCTTTGTGCAATGAGATCCTGTCGATCCTCTGTGAACTCTCGTTAAAGTATGAACTTTTGTTAAAGGATGCAAAGCAACACATTTAAGGAAAATCATTTAAGGACAGTTGAACTTATTTCAGCTTATTTATTCTTTGGTGACCGATATAAACAAAGTTTAATGCTATCTAAAGGCACTACCACAAATCATAGAACCAGTTTTTTCCCTTTTGGTTTTATTGTTGTTTTTTAACTTAGGGTTTAGAGGTTTTATGTCACAGAGTTTGAACATTATCTTGAACAAAGCTGTTAAAATCATAACATTTTAACTTGACTGACTTGGCGAGTACACATTTTAGATCCATTTTGTGTTTAGGATAAGAAAAGTGAGATTACATCATCTCAATCTATCACCATTGGGTTAGATGTTTTATTTAACATGGTGCACAACATATGGTAAGAATAGCTTCTATCAAGATACCTTCAGATGAATTTAACATGTGTGAAGATAATGTATGCTCAAGCAGGGCCCCTGTCATCAGAGCTTTTTTTTATTTCGTCTGATCAATTGCTCATCTGCCATAGTATTGTCGTAACATTGATGGCTGGAGAAACCAGGGAATAGAGAGAGCAGAAGGGGAGAGGGCATCCTCAGTCCTCTAGATGCCAAAGTTAACAATACGCAGCACGCACAGCAAGAAAAAATATGTGGAAACACTAAGTGAGAGGTGAGACAGAATAGGCTTTGTTATGTTGAGCTTAGAGACCTCAGGGAGCACAGAGCGGAGAGAAAAACGTCAGTGTAAGCAGTCAGGCCACGTTTTTTCGGAGACAGGCGGAGACTGGTTATATGGTGTGGGGGGTTGCTGTTATATGTGCAGGGCACTAAATGACAGGACAGGTCAATTACATTCAAGTTACTTGTTTTGTTTTTTTTTGGATAACACTAAATATGTTGATTGGAAAGGATGAGAGACATAAGCATGTTGCTCATAAGGCTTCATTAGCAGCAAAATAACTTTAACTTTAAAAAGGTTTCACTCTTAATCTAGAGTGATGCTAAAGACAGTTAGCAAACAAGTTCTTGTTTATTTAAAATGATCTAAAAATGCCTTTCTTAACAGTCTTCAAAATTAGAGACTGTAATCTGATGGCATTTTTCTAAATAGCTTTGTCCTACTGACACCTTTTTTTGTCAAATTTCTGTTTAAGAACCGTTATGCGATGACAGGGGTCACACTGGTTTCAGATGCAGGAATTAGTTTTCCAACCTGAGGATTACCAGCTCAAACTTTTGTCATTGTGTCCTTGGACAACAAACTTCTCCTGCATTCCCTGCTGATGGTGTTTATAGGGCGCCTGCATATGGTAGCCTTTTATTCTGTCAGTTAGCCCCAGTGCAGCTGTGGCTACAATGTAGTTAGCCTGTGTGAACGACTGAATGTAGTGTACAATGACTTGTAGCTCCCTGACTTGAATATAAGTACAGCTCACTTAATGTGTCTATAAAGACGTAAATCTTGACTATTATGGGTACACCCTAGGTTTGCGTACACCCTGGTCTTCAGAGCCCACTGTGCTTTGTATCCTAGATGTGTCTTTACTGAAGCCAACCTGACTTTGTCAATGTAGGTTGGAGATTGGTTGAGGACCCAAATGCAGAGATGAGTTTTTGCTGATTTAATGGAAAACAGAAACAAAATCCAAGAACAGAATGCAGAAAACCAAAACCAGGAGATGTCAGGGCAAAGCACACATGAGGAGCCAAGTAACAATGATAAACCAGCAATGAGGAACTGCA